TGTTTACAATATGGAAATAACACTTTAAAGGAGCAAAGGTGGAAGCAGAGACTCAAGAAGCAATAATCCTTTGGTGGATCAGCCCACAAAGTGGTAAGAAAGACAGATTTATGATAGCTTTTGAAGAATGGATAAAATTTGTTGATGGGATTAGACAGGGTGACATTAAGAGGAGTCAAGGAAGACTGAAAGTTTTTGAGTGAAGGAAGACTAGAAGTTTTTTGGCCTGTACCAAAGAAGAATAAGATTACCATTTACTGGGTTGGCATGAACATGGGAAGAACATATTTGTGATGGAAAATAGTAAGTTCAGTTTGTCAAGATGGAGATACTTATTAAAAATTTAAATATAGATGTTGAGCAGGTAGCTGTTTTCTAGATTCCAGAGAGGTGGGTAGGAGATATTAGTCTGGCAGTCTTCAGCATATATGGTATTTAAATCACGAGTATGCATGTAGGAAAATGTATATAGCGAGAAGAGGATCCAGAACTGAACCTTTGAAGAACTCCATCAATTAGTCATTTCAATCTCATAACTAGTATTTTTACAATAAAACTGGCTTCATTTTTAAAGCTGTTAGCAGTTTCTAAAGTCATCAAGTATATCAATGAGACAACAATAAACTAAAAAGACTAGATTTCGCAAATCTCAAAAGAGAAAGAAACTAGCTGTTCTGATCAGAGGACTACTAGGAACTCAAAAAATTCCAAATACAGAGGTTGCACGATCCAGCGGTTAACTGCATGGTACATAAATTCAGACTTCCTGGATTTTAATTCTGGTCCCTACACTTATTATCTATGTGAATTAAGGCAAGGCACTTACTATGCAGTTTCCTAAGCAATAAGTTGGGGATAACTTATTGGACTGTTGTAAATGAATTAATACCTAAACTTACACTCAAAAAGTCAGCTATCATACTATCACTGACACTAAGTTACTGAAACAAAAGTTGGGAGAGACCCTTCAGCTGATAATACTAATTTTTCAATTATCTTAACCAAAGACTTGCGGCTCTGCTTTGATTTCAAAACATGGCCAAAACACGTTCCTGAATGCAATTCTCTGAACTTATAGCTTTCTGGATTTAAAACAAAGCCAAAATACATCCCCAAACTCCTTAGCGTGCAAAACAATCGCGGAACAACGAGCTAGTCTTAATTTACACATTAGAGTAAGCCTGTCTGCTAACAAGATCCATCTGTGTGACACAAGCTTCCAGTACCAGAAACCCTCTTAACCAGTTATTTGATTCTCCTCTGGTCTCTCCTCTAGAGAAAGAACGTGCTTTCGAAGAAAAAGGTTAAAACGAGCTTTGAATGAGAGTACAGCAAAGTGCCAAAAATCCAACTCTATAGCAGCAACAGGGGAAGACTTCTCGAGTAACCATCTATCCGTTTTCCCTAGTACTCAGGAGCACGGTGGGGTCAAACTCCTCTCTGGTGAGTTAAGGGGAAACAGCAACCTTCTCTCATCTGGCCCCACCCCTGATCCTGTCCCCTAGGACCCCTGGGAGCAAAGCAGCTATCCTCTCTCTCCCTTCTCTTGCGGGGTTCCCGGGTTCGGACCCAGGCCTTAGGCTCCAGCCTCCAGCCGCCCAGCCAGAGGAGACTCCAGGGGAAGAAACAATAGGGCCGTGGCAGCCGCCGTACCTCTCACGGTCGCGGCCGTCGAAGTAGACGAAATCGCCGTTCTGGACACACTTGGCACAGGTCAGCCGCCGGCGGGTGGTGTTGCACAGTGGACACCGCTCGACCGCCACGTACAACCCCTCCGCGTCGTCAACCGAGTCGACCAGGTCCCGGGCGAGTGGCCGGGGCCCGCAGCCAGGAGCCTCAGGCGCCCGGGCTCCCTTCCCACTGGGAGACGCCATGATAGTCTAAGAGCCGAGCCAGTCACGTGGGATTTTGTTTTCAACCAGATGCATCCTGGGCGAAGAGGAGGGGACTGAGGCTGTGCTGGGAGGGCGGGAGCCGGGCTAACCTCGCCGGCGGCGTGCTGGCTGCACTACTGCTTTTCCTGTCACCTGAGGGGCAGCAGGGCGCAAAGCAGGGAGACTTATGTTAGAGGGGGGAGTCAGCCAAACAAATGTCATCATCCGCTGGATCGTGCCAAGGCTACAAGTTAACGCCTCAACCTTGCGCAAGAAATAGTAATACGATGCCCCAAGGATTCTGGGAAAACGGACTGGGAACAAAATAAGAGAATTTGACTATGGATGCTTTAAAATTTGGCTATGGATGCTTTAAAATTTGGCTAGAACTACATCAAATAAGGTTGAGTGAGGGGGCTGGGTCTTGGAATGAGGTTTAATTTTGGCTCACCAACTTAATAGCTGTGTGATTTGGGGCAAATGCCTAACCTCTCTGTGCCTGTGTTTTCATCTGTTGAAAGAAGACATAATTACACTACCTACTTAACCAACGTCATGAGAATTATTAAGCAAATACGTTGAATAGTAATCTGATATACTTTACTGATAATAGCTAACAAGTGGAAACGACCATATTACTGAACATGGAAATCAATGTAGTATCTTTCTGAAAAGAGAACTTTAAAGTCATGGCCAACATTCCTCCTCTTACTATGGTTCACGCTCTAAAAATCTGAACTAGGTAGAATTTAACCTAGATAGGATTACTCCCAGTTTCTTTGCGGGAGGCAGGGGGTGTAAATTGGGTGGGTCGGAATATTATATCAGAGTAATTAGTGTTTGAATATGCCTCTAAACCACGGAAGGAAAAAAGAAAAGGGCTTACAGATCAAATTATATAGAGCAGTGATTCTCAAGGATTATTTCCATAAGCTGTCCATGGATGACTGCCCTAAATTCTTTCTAGCAGGGACTTCTTTCCCCTGTTCGATACCCAAAGATTCATAACTGCCTGCTAAGCATCAAGTGACTTACCATGGCCACCACAAGCTCAAAGTGTAGGAAAGTGAATTCTCCCTCCTCAAAAATCTGTTTCCTCGCCTTGATGAAAGACAAAATCACTGGCCACTTGGGGCCTTGAGTCATGTTAACCTCATCTCTCCCTGTTAACTTCCACATCTCCATCAAATGCTGATGAGTCTACAAACTAATTAGGTCTTGAATCTAAACTCATTTCTCCATCCCTTAGAATTATAAAAGCACACAAAAAGCAAAAAATCCCTATGCTGTTTCAAAATAGAGCTTATACTAAACCTGAATGTTTCCTGAATGTTTAAGATTCATTTTTAAGTGAGAGAAATAATTTTCTCTGATCATTTCAAACAAAAGGATATTTAATTTTTCTAAAGTTTTCAGACTTTCATATTTCATTTGTATTCTGACAGGATCCTTCACAGTGCTTATATCTAATGGCCAGGATCATCTACTCAGTATTTTAAAAGGCAAAAAATAGACACATTAATATCTATCCTGCTAGATATTATAGATAGTATCTATTTTGTGCAGTTATTTCAAATTTCTATATATTGCTATGTATTTTGAGAAAACACATCATGCACTACATCTTTAACAAGAACAGAGCATTAAATTTTAATGATGGTGCAAAATCTCTCTAGCAAGGCCCTAAATCTCTCAAGTTTTGAAATAACTTCATTTGTTCAGTTTTAAAAATAACATGAGTCATTTTGAATCAGAAGTTTTCTTCATTTCTTAGGCATGGTCACTCACATAGAATCATCCTTCTCAGAAGTCAAAATGTGCATGGACTATTTACAATTAAAGGTAGAAAAATCTAGCTGTTTCTGTGTTGTGCTTATGCACATGCAGAAACCAATATACTATGAGATGATGAATGATCTCAGGCTTTTTTAAAACCCTTTAGAATAGGATAGATGTTTTCAAATGCTTCGTAGATCTCAGAACGTTCTTTGGCACCTGTAAAGAAATCCAAGTTTATAAAATCTTTAATATAAAAACATAACCAAAATTTTTTAAGGCAAATTTCACTGTCATCTCTAATTACTTTTAATGTGACATCTCTTCAGGTGTACCTGAGAAGTAAAATTTATTCTTGGTAAAGAAAAGAATATTGTGACTACATCCACATTTCCATAAATACACACAAACCCTAGAGCAGAGTTTTCTAGTACTACGATGTGGGCGTATCAGATCATTTTTAGCTACAAAGGGCTCAGTATGAAATATGGAATATTATCTTTAAGCATGCAACAAACATGACCCCAGAACATGACCTTCATCAGCACTTGTGGGCACTTAGCTACCAACGAGAAGAACTTCCTTTGATCCACTCATCTGTAGTTAACATCTTGATTCCCTAATGTTAACAGAGAAACTGGAACTAAAGTTTTAAATTTCAGTTTATGAGAAGGGATTATTAGAGGGAAAACTGTACCACTGTCCCCCTTAAGAGTCTTAACTTTCAAGAGACCTTTACTTATAATAAACCACTCTAGGAGTTAAAGGGTTAAAAACATGAATTAGACATAGTCGCTGCCCTTGAGAGATATCATGTCTCACCACCACCAACCACCTCTAACTACTTCCACCTTCAAAGCTATGTAGGCACATTGTGCTAAGAGTTATAGCCTGGTATTACTTATGTTTATACGGAGCTATCAGCTAATTAGGAAATTATTATCTGATTTTATTGTGGGAAAGAAGCAAGGAGTTTAATGAAAAGAATACAACTGTTAGCATGAAGAGGAATGGCAAATAGGTTAAGCTGATAAAGACTTCTTTGAGAACTATAAAGTTCAGAGGAAGGCTCAGAAAGAGAGCAGAAATAACCTCGGAGAAGCGGCTATCTGGTTTAACTACAGGACTAATCACAAGGAGTACCAAAAGGAATATCACCAGATTTGAGAAGCTGGTAGAAATGATTAAGAACTGAAGATAAGCTATAATTTAAAAAATGGAAAATAGCAAATGTTGATAAGGATATGGAGAAATTGGAACCCTTATACATTGCTGATGGGAATATAAAATGGTCAGCCACTATAGAAAACAGTTTGGCAGTTCCTCAAAAAAGTTAAAATACTATTTACAACATGACCTGGTAATTCCACTCCTGGGTATATATCCCTGAAGATTGAAAACAGGTACTCAAATAACACACAGGTAGACACATGTTCATTCAACATCATTCATAATAGCCAAAAAAGGAAACAACCTGAGTGTACATCAACAGATGAGTGGATAAACGAACTGTGATATATACATACAATAGAATATTATTCAGCCATAAAAAAGAATTAAGTACGGATATAGGCTACAATGCAGATGAAACTCAAAAACTAAGTGAAAGCAGCCAGATACAAAAGGTCACATATTGTATGATTCCATTTATATGAAGTGACCAAAACAGATAAATCCAGAGAGACAGAATGCAGATTGATAGTTGCCAGGGGCTAGCAAGAGGGAGGAATGGGGAGAAACTGCTTAATCATACAGGATTTTATTTTGGAATAATGGAAATCTTTTGGAACTAGACTGAGGTGGTGGTTGTAGAACATTTTAAATGTACCAATGTTTGTGAATTAATCACTTTAAGATGTTTATGTTATGTGAATCCTACTTCGATAACTTAAAAATGTTTTTAAAGAATCAAAGATGAAGTCTTTATGAGATTCAAAGTCTCGAGAGATAAGGGCAAAAAGTTACTTACTCATTGCCAAGGAGTTTACCATCTGTGAGTCTCCACCCTCAAAGATGTGGGGTGAAATGGAGGGGGTGTTAATGGCACAAATAAAAGACACTTGGTACATTTGGGATAGGAGAAACCCCTGAAGTCTCAGCAGATTTTAGTTATGGCACTTAAATTTTAGTTTTTAAAGAGAATGGTTTTGTAGAAACCAATGAGTTGAGGCAGGAAGTAAAACACCAGTGCAATGAAAACTCAATGCCTCTAGTTTGATGGACTTTTATGGCTGCTGAATACATTTGAATAGAACAGCCTTCTTGTTAGGAGACAGTGCAATACGTACAGCAAACACATTCCCACTCCCTACCCCCCAAAAAGACCTAAAGCCAACATTCTTTTTACATTTCATTGAGTAACAGAGGATTGAAGTCCAGCATTTTGGGTAACTATGTACTTCAGTTTTATCACAGCACTTTAAAAAAAAATCATACCTAAAAGTACTGTATTCAAGCCCAAGGAATATAACATGCTGGCATCCCCTGGGGAGTAGAAAACACCCATTGCCCAGGAGGGACAGGGCACTGAGAGTGATTATTTTAAATCATAGGAAAATTCTAGACACAAAGGGCTTTAGGGAGATTATCTAGTACAATTTCTTTACATGTGGGAAAACTAAGGCCCAAGAAGTTACAGTTCCCCTGAATCATGAGTAGCAGCAATGGGAGAAGACCTCATGTAGCCAGTGTTCCTTTCTTTACATCTAAAGTCTTCAAACCAACAGTGTCAGGATCTGTAGCTGGGTGTTAAAATGAGGGGACTTAGTCAATTTAGTCAAATGTTTCCTCATGGAAATATTGGCATCAAAATGTTAAGGGAACCCAAAGCAATTGACAGATTGGATGCAATCCCTAACAAAATACCAATGGCATTTTTCGCAGAACTAGAACAAATAATCTTAAAGCTTATGTGGAACCACAAAAGACCCTAAATAGCCAAAGTAATATTAAGAAGAACAAAGTTGGCAGTATCACACTATCTGATATCAAATTATGCTACAAGACTATAGTAATTAAAACAGCATGGACTGTGTAAAAACAGACACATAGATTAATGGAACAGAACAGAGAGCCCAGAAATAAACTCATGCCTATACGGTCAATTAATCTACAACGAAGAAGGCAAGACTACACAATGAGGTAAAGACAATCTCTTCAATAAATGATACTGGAAAAACTGGACAGATACATGGCCAACAGACACATGAAAAGATGATCAACATTACTAACCATAAGGGAAATTCAAGTCAAAACCACAATGAGATATCACCTCACACATGTCAGAATGGCTATTATCAAATCAACAAACAACTGTTGGCAAAGGTGTGGAGAAAAGAGAACCCTAGTATACTGTTGGTGGGATTGTAAATTGGTGCAGCCATTATGGAAAACAGTATGGAGGTTCCAAAAACAAAGAAACAAACAAACTACTGTATGACCCAGCAATTTCACTGAGTATTTATCTGAAGAAATCCAAAACACTAATCCAAAAAGATATATGCATCCCTACGTTCATTGCAGCATTATTTATAATAGCAAAGATATGGAAACAACCTAAGTGTCCATCAACAGATGAACAGATAAAGATGTGATATACATGTAGAATGAAATATTACTCAGCCATAAAAAGAATGAAATCTTGCCATTTCTAACAACATGGATGGACCTAGAGGGTATCACACTAAGTCAGACAGAAAAGTAAATACCATATGATTTCACTTATAAGTGGAATCTAAAAAAAACAATATAAATGAACAGAAACAAACTCATGATATAAAGAACAAATTAATGGTTGCCAGATCAGAGGGGGTTAAAAGATGGGCAAAAAAGGTGAAAGAGATTAAGAAGTACAAAGTGCCAGTTATAAAAATAGTCACTGGGATGTGAAGTACAACATAGGGAATATAGTCAATAATACTGTAATAACTACTATGTATAATGCCAGATGGGTACTAGATTTATCATGGTGATCACTTTGTAAGGTATACAAATGTCTAATCACTATGTTATACACTAGAAATTAATGTAATATTGTAGGTCAACTATAATTGAAAAATAAATTTTAAAACATATGTAAACAACAAAAAACCTTTAAGGGAACATAAATTGGCTCCATGCTCATTAATAATCAATAATCAAACATCCCAATTTGTAATACCAGACTCCAATTAGATGACACTTGCCTTTTAAGCAAGACTTACCAGTCCTCTCCTTCAGGTTTTAATGGTCTGGATGGGGATAAATACTATTCCTAAGCCTGGTGGAAATTCTATGGCTGGTGCACTGGAGAAAGAACTGGCTTTGAGGTCAAATGATATGAGCTCAAATGCCAGCTCTACCACTAACTAGTTTTGAAATCACAGGCAAATTGTTTACCTTATGAATTTTAGTTTTCTTACCTATAAAATAAGGACAATCACCTTTCTCAGAGGGTTGTTATAAAGGGTTGAGTAAAGGTTTGTAAGAAGTCCTTTGTAAACCTTTACATTTTACAAATTCTAAGCTGTTTTTATCGCTCTACAAGAATATACTTCAGGTTAGGGATGTTGGGATGGTTGGTCCAAGTACACACATCTCGTCATTTGGTTCTGTAAGAGCCAGTATAATTACTGCCAGATGGGGAGTGTGTTATATTCACTTATATATACTCAGCAGCTAAAACAGTATGTGTGCCTGGAAGTCACCCAAAGTTTATGAAATATCTATCATCTGTCAGTTAGGTTTGTAAGCTTATCCCTATCCTTTAGCCAGTCCAAATATCAATTTCCAATACTACTTGGATTTTCTAATTCTATTCTTATACCAAGCCATAACTACACATCTTAATTTCTCAAGTAATATCATGTCTGTGTGCACACAAGTGAAAATCTTACAAATTGAAAAAAAGGCATTAAACCTCTCAAGGTATGCATTTTACATAATATACTAAATTGCTATTAGTGGACAATTACCAGTAGCGATTGACAGGGATAGTCTGTGTCTCTCTCTGGCCCACTCACTAATAAATCAGTCCTGCCGTTTTTATGTTCTCTGACCTACTCATTGCCGAGGACCACTAACATCTAGCTGATTGAGAGTGACCCTCAGTAACAAAGACCCAGCTTCTCTGTCTATTATGCTGGAGAAAAAAAAGTAAATGTGAAGCATTTTACTAAAGTCTCTTTGGAGTCGTATTCCTGTCATCAGGCAAGGCATCATCACAGTAAAATTCCAGTCTTTTTCAATGCTAGGGAAAAAGCAAGGAGAGTAGACTTTCACCAAGATGATGATAATAATAGCTAATGTTTACACCACGCTTACTTTATTCCAGGCACTGTTTGTGTTTCCTCACAACACTTAGCAGATAGCATCTATGGCCAACTGCATTTCATAAATATGGAAGTTAAGGTGGGGAACTTAAACTCACCCAAGTTCATATAGCCAATAAGTGGTAAAGCCTGGTTTCAAACTGGACAGTTGGCCTCCACAGTCCATCCTCTTAGCCACGCATCTGCTGCCTCTCACTGCTAAGAGTATTTATCATTTCTTCAACTGAAAAGATTAGGGAGATGGTGCACAAAAGACCACACAGGAGTTTTCAGACATCTAGAGAGCTGGGGGGCAAGGCAAGGACTTGAAGATGGCAGAATCTGGAGCCAGGCTGCTTAAGTTCCCACCTGTGCTGCAGCACATACAGCTGTTTGACATTGTTAAGGTTATTTAATCTCTCCATTGTCCTTATTTTACAAGTGAGGAAACATATTAAGTACAACCTCACAGAGTTAACTAGATCCTATATAAAAACCCTTAGCACAGTGCCTGGCACAAGAATGCCCAACACGTTAACTGTTATTATCTCTGATCTTCAAAGTCAAAGTTGACATATTTGCTGTCCATTGTATATTATTCTGGCAGACCCTGCTATACTGTTACTTTCATAGTGGTTTGAAAAAAAACATGGGTCCTGGATGTCACACCAGCCATAGAAAAGCAGCATTGACCTGGAAAAAGTGTTAAGCTTAGCCTGGGTCTCATTGCTTTTTGCTGTCAGGAACAATGACAAAGTAGAATAGCAGGGCCTGTTTGTCTTCAGCTCACTTAACCATAGAACATTCAGATGTAGCCCTGGACATGGTAGCTACAGCTTTGCACCGCAGGAGAGTAAAACAATTTTAAATTTTACATGGACACATTATTTTCAAAGACTCAGCAAAAGGCGCATGATACAATAATTGCCAATTGCCACTTATTTCTAATATTTCTACAGTTCCTACCTAGGGAAGAACTTGGATTCATTATCACCTACAGTCATATTCAAAATGCATTTGCAATTTCAGTACTCCAACATTTTCTAGGCAAAAATCATTTACCCTTACTGGGAACTTGCTTTCAAATGGCTCTGCAGAGTGCTTGGTCTTGCCATGTTGGACTAGACTATGTGAGCCTCTAGGACTCCACTGGACACTCTACAGTCTACACGACCATCCTTAGCTGAGGTTCTAGAGGCAGGGCTAAAAAAAAGTCCCTTTTCCCAGTTATACACCCAAAATTAGGGCCTTGAGTTTTTAATCCCTTTGTAGGTGAAAAGGGTCTTGGTACCTAAAGTTAAGAAATAAGGGGCATTTGTCTCTAAGTTTAGAGCAAACTTAACCTAAAACATGTGTTTCTAGGTAAAGATACTTTAAGACAATGCAACATAAACTGGAAAAATCCTAATAGATAAGTATCTATATTTCAGTAGTAAGACAGACTGGCTTTTATTTCATAATCTAAGCAGAAATTTGGATTTCAATTAATATATCTCATTTCCTTCTCCACAGAAGTAATAATCTATGTCTTGCAAGAATGAAGAAATTTGGCTTTGCCTATTCTATGTGCTAAACACATTAACAAATTTTAAGGCAAGTGTATTGGATGGTCTTCAGTATTGGAGGTTGACAATCCTTTGTTTTTGTGATGTGTAACTTCTAGCAAATGTGTTCATGACAGTAATTTTTCCTTTTAATTTGAGGCAAGCGGGAAAGTTGGGATGAATTAAGGATATTTAAAGAAACTTTTTGTGTGTACCTATAATTGGAACTTAACCTACATCTGGCCATTTTCACTTTAAATAAAACCGATTCATAATGACACATAGCACATATATGAAAGTATCCTTCCAAAGTTCTTGAAAAGTTTGTTCCCTTAAGTAGGGCATATATTGACCTCCAATATCTATACTATTCGATTTACTTGGCAGGCTTTCCCCCCATCATTTAGGACATACAGAGATAAACTTTGTCAGCCACTAGGTCTTAATTATTTCAGATTCTAAATTGGTGGCATCTGAGGAATTGTAGCTTTGCTGTATTCAAAAAGTTCTTGAATTCCAAAGTCTTCTTCCACTTCAAAGACACATTTTTTATTTCTTAGAGAAAAGCACACTACAAAACTGTACTGAGAATTATAAAGCCTTAAGAACAGACATTCCACATTGCTGGATGTTGAGTGATAACTATCGATTTTTCTGAAATTAATTCAGATAATGCAAAAATCTCAATTTTTTTTTTTAGATGAGGCAAGATTTTATAAAATTCTAGTTTACTTGGAAGAATATTCAAGAGGAGGTAAGAAACACAAAAAGAGAAGCAATGAGAGAGAACCAGCTCTATCAGATATAGAGTCTACTAGAATTAAAGCACATTTATAGCATAGTATAAATACAGTAGAATTATTATAGTATATATCTGGAGCAAAGGTGAACAGACTCATATATAAAAATAAAAGTCAAAAGGAGTCATCACAAATTAATAAGGAGGAAAAAAATACGTAGTATTCAGATGGCTTGCTAGCCATTTAGGGACGGGGCACAGAGATCAATTTGGCTCATGCCATATAAACTTGGCATTAATTCTGGCAGAGTAAAAAGTCAGACAAAAATATCAAACTTCAGTAGAAAGATATGGGAAAAAAGTGTCTCAATCTTTTGCCTCAAGAACTTAAAAAATCTCCTATAGGAGAACAGTGCTATATATCCCTTCCTAAACAATTCCTAAGTAATTGGTACTTAGAATCTTAGAATTCTTAAAAATAGCCATATCCTTAAACAAAAGTTCTATCCACAAAAATAAAGTAATTCTCTACACATAAAAATAGCCAATTGTTTGTGCCATTTATAAGCAGCAAAGAAGGAACATTTAAACACCTGACAATAGGAGAATAAGTTTGATACAATAACATGTTAGAACAGAGGTCAGGAAACTTAGGCCTGCTGGCTAACTCTAGTTTGCTGCCTGTTGAGGCATAGTTTGTGAGCTGAGACTAATTTTTATGTTTTAAATGGCTGGAGGAAAATTAAAAAGAATATTACATGACAAATGTAAGTTATAGGAATTACATTAAATTCACTTACCAGAGGCTTTTTCTTTATGTAATGCCTATAGCTACTGAGGCACTACAATGGGAGAGTTCAGTTGTGGTGACAGAGACTCAATGGTCTGCAAAGCCTGAAATATTTAGTATTTGGCCCTTTACAGAAAAAGATTTGCTGACCCCTCTGTTAGAACATTGTGCAGCTGTTAAAAGCTTTCACGAAGAGTTTGCAACAGTGAGTTAAACTACATGTTCTAATGGTTAATTAAAAAGCAGGATGTAAAGATTAATATACCTATCAAAATGACATAAAAACATGAAAAAAATACATTGTTTTGGTTTTGGAACCAATGATATATTTCTATTTTTCGTGAATTCTATTTGGAACCAATGATATATTCCTATTTTTCGTGAATTCCTATTTTTCGTAATAGCAAGAATTGCTTCATAAGCTGTTTAAAAGGAAAAGCAAAGCACATACATAGCTAATGAATTTTATGAAAGTCAGAAAATAATTTTAGAACTTACCTGTCAACACAACTTTTCCTGATACAAAGATAAGCAAAACAATTCGTGGTTTTACCATTCTATATATAAGGCCAGGAAACAGTTCAGGTTCGTAACTGTTAAAATACAACAGAAAAAAGTTAAAAATGGCACTATTCAACTACTTTTCCATATTTGAGTTGCATATTAAAGCAGTTTTAAAAAGCTATTTTGCCAAAAACCCTTCAGCCATCTTGATAAAATTAGTCTTGAGTGTCCTAGGTAATTTCCTGTAGCAGTCAAGAACAGAATTAATTTTTGGTCATAATATTTTTTTCAAGTGTAAGTCATCTTAAGCCGTTAGAAATTAAAGTAACTTAGGGCATCAGGTTTAATGTATTAAGATCTTGTTGGTTAAGCGTTCTCTATCTTTCCAAGAAAAGTCTGCCAATATATAAACACGTTTTCTAAATTTTCCAAGTTCCCCCAATAGTGAGCATATTTTGTAGGCATTTATAAACTGCTAAAGTTAACATTTTTAGCAGATAAAACCTAAAAAATGGTCTAGACCATTGTTTGTCTTTGGACAGGTACTCTATAAAGAAAGAAAACCAAACTATCTCAAGTTTTAAAAATTCAGGATTTTTAAATATGTTCTCATACATACTAACTCATTCCTATTTACAACTACATGTAAGCTGGCTTCTCCATGGAGCAAAGGATAGGGCTAAGAACTGCTTCTCCATACTTTAGCATAGAGAAGAGAGAGCACTTAGAAAAGCTCGAGAAACCTACAAAACAAGTCGAGAAGTAAGAGGAAGCTGATAAAACTATTCTCAGAACAATGGCTAATGGAGAACAGATATAAGAAAAAGAAAACCAAGAAATAGAACACTATAATACACGTGAATCTTTGCATTTAAAGGGTGAATCCAGATGACATGCGAAACTCCATTCCATTCTGCAATGATAAGACCCATATAACAGCAGATGTAAAACCTCTTGTTGGCACCAGAGAGGCATCATAGTGGCCACCCTTCTGAAATATATGGAGGTTGCAATGAGTGGACTTGTCCTCTTGCAACATCATTCCATTGCAGAAAACCACTTCCCAACATCGGGGAGACAATAAGACCAGCTAGAGCATTGGAAAATCCCTTAGGAACTTGAGCCAAGAAAGTGAAGGCTGGGGTACAGAAAAAATGTTCCTATTTGATTTTCCATCTGAATCTTAGGACTCTACAAAGGAAAAAAGAAAACAAAAGTATGTAAATAATGATGAACTGTATTTGGCTTTCAGAACCATGATTTTAAGGTGCGAGCATAATAGTCTCTTGATTAATAATTTACTTCATTTATCCTCTGCCTCATTTCAAAAGAAGGTTCAGGCAGAAAAGAGAAAGAGGTTTTGGTTAGGGATGGAGAATACTTTATGAGGATTGAGAATAACAAACAGCTGCCGATCTCTTGGCCAACCCTAAATTGACTCATTGTTCAAGTCTCAGCTTGAATGGCACTTCCTTTAAGAAGTCTTATTGATCTCCACACCTCCTCAATGATGTTAAGTATCCCACTTGATGGTACTAGAGCACTTCAAAGGGTGTTCACCTTCACTGTCACCATGTTTCATTATTATCTTTAGCTTGTGTGCCTTCTCTTTCAGACAGTGAATGCCATTAGGGCAAGGGACTATGGCTCTACTGATTGTCACTGTCAGTGCAGTATTTGTTACACAGTAGCCACCTAGATTTTACTCTTTTAAGAAATATTTATTATCAGGATATCTTTGACTTTAAATTGAAGGGAAAAGAGAAAAATGCTCAGAGAAAAGTGAAAAAAATTAAAGCATAGGAAGATTGACAGAGAACGTACTCGGTATCAAGGATGATATTTGTATTATCTGATGCTGATATTTATATTATTAGATGCTAATAAACACAAATTTGTAGAACCTGGGAAATCAAATGACCTTGAGTTTTAACATAAGGCAAATTTGATCTGATAATTATAACTGATGTATGCCATTGCTCCCTACAAGGCTACAGGCAATTACAGGGAGGCCTCATTTTAAAGATAAAACCTGCTGAAAAAGAGGAGTTTTAGTGCCCCAATGTCATGAATACTCACACTGGAGTTGTAATCCATAACTTAAGGATGGAAGCTGGATGGAGAGCATTTGGGGGAAGCAAGAATGAGACAAGAATGAGATAGTTGTGTGAATACAAAGCAAGCTTCCTTGCCTAATTAAAAGATGGATGAAATCATAAAGCTGGCTCAGAAGGAAGATAGAAGAGTGATGGGCCCACTCCAAGTGGCTAAAAGCAGTGCATCTGATGCGTTCTCTTTTTGCCCTACTGGCAATTTTATCTTTCAGAAGGTAGAAGTAGTCACAAAGGGCACTCTTACTCTAGATTTAAATCTGATCTGCAATGTTGGTGGACAAAAATGAAACTTGGGAGGGATCACACACCTCTTAGAGTCCTAAATGGCCAGAAAGAGGAATACAAGTCTAATATAATCATGTACCTTCTAATTCAAGCAGAGATCTTTCATATGTTCAGGAAAAGTTGGTTCAGAGGAAGAGACTAAGGCCCATGGTTGAGAATCTGGAAGATAAATAAGCTGGCTCATTTGCTGAGAGACTCTTAAAAATGAAGGTTTTACTATGTATCTACAAAGTAACCCAAACTGAAGAAAGAAAAAGATACTTAAAGAGGCAATATGTCTTGCATGAGGGGCTTCCCAGCGAACTCAGTGAGTACATCATGGGCACTCAAGAAGCAAATGCTGAAAAAAATTGATGCAGAGGAAAAGAAAATACAACCAAGGGAAAAATAAACATTGCCTGAAGAATATCATAAAAATAAATCTCAGAATGAACTAAAAATTTTTTAAAGGAAGAAACAAAGCAATTGTTAACTTCTGTTCAGATCACGTCTCAAAGGAAAGTTAACAAATGTTAGAGAAAGCACAATTATATGATCCCTATCTGCTTTATTAAACAGAATGAGTACTCAAAGGCAAAGAGAAGGAAAATGTTGGAGTGAAAGGACTTAAGTTCAAGCTAGATCAAGAGAATTTAAGAACATCTGTGGGTTCTAAGGCAGTTCAAGTGCCTTGGCCCAAGAATATGGCCCAAGCAGTGGTGGGATTTGGTGTTGATCGGTCAACCTCCATCACTGTTCTCCAGGGCCTGAGATGGATGGGGAAAGCACCAATGCAGCTGTGGGAGGGGGAACATTTGCTATTGATAAGGGAAGCCAGGCAGGCTAGAGATACTTGCCTAGGAAAATGGGAGGGGGAACATTTGCTATTGATAAGGGAAGCTACATTTGAAGAAGCCAGGCAGGCTAGAGATACTTGCCTAGGAATATGAGTACACTAAAGAAAATCTTCAAAGAGGACAAAAACTAGATAAGATTACCTTCATAGAATGTGCTATGGCCATTCTTTTTTTCATCTTCTCCCAACCCTTTCTTCCCTCACTAGCTGTTAGCCCCTTCCGACTTGCCTACTCCGTTGCACATCCCTTTTCTTCCCTTCGTGGCTATCATCTCCAAGTCAGGTGTGCTGTTTTAAGAAATCTAGACATCAGTGGGTCTCAATGTGTGGGCCACTGGCCAGCAGCATTGGCATCATCCGTGAGCATGTTAGAACTGCAAATTCAAGCAAAATCTTGCAGCCCAGGCAAGAATGTGTTTTAATAAACTGTCCAAGTGATTACTATATACTATAATTTTGAGAACCACCATTTCAAAAGATTGGACATATATAGTAACCAATGAGGACTTAGGCATAGCATCTTAACCCCATCACCTATTGTGCCTTTACCAAAAAATTACACTTTCTCTAAAAGATACATTATCTAAGCAGCCCATAATACATACAACTTTAACATCTCGGTAAACTCAAAGTTATATAACGACCATACCTACTAAACTGCTGATGGGTTAGCACCAAACCTTCCAGCCTGATGGAAAATCTCACATCACAGCTTCCAACCATGTTCTGAATTTTAAAATCGAGGAATCTGGCAGGGAACCCAAGCTTCTGCACCACACGAGCGTACTTTCTCGCTGCGAGTCGAGACTGCTCTTCGCTGGGGAGGGGCAAATGTGTTTAAAGACATCTAATCACCATGCCCTCCATATGAGTTGGGCTGTATTCACATGTTTGACTGTATTTCTACCCTTTGTACCATGTTTATCTTTCAATATATACTACCAACCAGTAGACTTGGAGGAGGACCTACGTCCCCTACTTTTGTCCCTAGCTCCTAGTAAAAAGGTATGGTACAATGAACAGTTGTTGAACTGGATCATAAACAGATTTTTGTCTTAATTTATCATCTACTACATATAAAACACCTTTTTCTTTTACTTGTTTTAAGTGCTATTAGATAAAATTAACTACTCCACTGGTTATTAAAGTGTGTCCTCAGACCAGCAGCAGCATCACCACCTGAGAACGTTAGAAATGCAGAGATCAGCCTCCATCTCAGATAAGCAGACACTCTGAAGATGAGGCCCAGCAATCTGTGTTTTAACAAACCCTCCAGTGATTGTGATGCTCACTAAAGTTTTAGAACCATCTATCTGGTCTATAGGTATGTGCCATTTAGATGGGAACAATGGCAACAAAAATAAGGACACATTGCATATTGAAGTTATGAGCCAATCGAATAGCACAGACATGATGTCAGGACTTGGGCCTTTATGGGACAAATTTATGTTAAAAAACATGAATACCTCAAAACCTGCTCAATTTTGCTCAGGCTTTCTTACACAATTGTCATTTAACTCATATGCAATATGACAAAGAAATAAATTCATCTAACTTTGTGACTGTGTTCCTCTAAGTGTTTGTTCTACTCCAACCCTATGTGAACTCCTGAGATTTGAGGCTTTATTTTTCATTAGGTACTCTTCAATGGTGACTGCCCAAACAAAACACTAAGGAGTAGGGGTTGCCAAACAGGGGCAACACCTGGTGGGTGAAGCTGACAATCAGAAGCACCTGAAAGAAAAGCCAGATGGAACTTGTTTGCTGGACCAAAGGAAGTATTCCATTCTCTTGCCTGTCTAGATCCTTCTCAGCACTGGCCCCTCATAACTGTATTAATTCCTTCACACACTTCACCTCACTTCACTTGGATTCTTCCCACCCACTTCTAATTCCTGAAATGTCCCTAGCAAGGCCATGTCCCCAAGTTAGCAGAGAAATAAACTGCTTTCATTTTAAAAAACTATATTAGCTTAATTGACACATTATATCTCCCATATGTTTATAAGGTTAAATTTCAAGAGTTTGCATAGCCTTGTAGGTTCTTGGGAGGTTAGCTGCGAACATCACATAGAAATTCCCAAACAACTGCAGTTAGAAGTCTAGATACATATTCTTGTACAAACATTAGAAAATAAATTAAGAACCTTGAAATGTCATCACCAGTGGTAAAAAACGCTGATAAATTTGACCCTTCTGCACTTTTCCTACACAAACACAGGTGTTTCCCACTCTGTAAAGTCTGGTTTTAACAACTAAAGAGAACAGGTTTGGATAAATTTGTGGAGATAATTCTGGTATCTTACACTAACCAAACGTTCACAACTCTCTATTCGAAACTCAAGAACCAGATAGATTTGGGTAACAGTATCTCATTCCCTGAACTCACTACCCAAGCTTTCGCTATCTTCTGGTTAGGAACCAAATGAATTCAGAGAGGGAAAGATACTCATCAGTGTGTGTGTAATATGAGCATATTTTAAAGTAAACGTTGGATAATAAACTTACCATTTAGTTGCCTGCTCCCTCTCCAACTTAACACGATATGACCATCCTTCCAACTCAATATACATGTATGTATTTGAATGGCTAAATACAATTTTATGATCTAATCAAAACTCTATTACTAGATTATTAATTCGTTGCTCTCGTTTTAAACAACGCTGAAATGAATGTCCTTGAAGATATCTCGCAGAGTTGTTCAATAACGACATAATGATGGAGATTTCTAAGTCAAGGGATACACATGTGAATCAACAGAAGAGAGGCCCCAAAACTTACACAAATGTAAAAAACTTAACTTGTAAAAACAAGTGGGGAGAAATTTCAGTAAGAATGGATTCAACAAATGTATTGAAGCACTGACTGGACATTTTTAAAAAATTATTTCACATTTAAATAAAATTCTAAGACTGGCTCTGCCCAATATGGTGGCCACTGGCCACACATGGCTATTTAAATTCATATTAATTAAAATTAAATTAAAAAATTCAATTCCTCTATTGTATCAGCTATATTTTAACTGTTCAAAAGCTATATGTGACTAGGTGCTATTGGACAAAATAGATATAGAACATTTCCATCATCTAGAGAAAGCTCTAGAGGAATCAAAACATCAACTTCACTTAATACAAAGCAGACCTGAAAAAGGCTAGAAAAATATATGGAGGTCTATATTTACATAATGTTGTGCATGAGGAATGCCATCCTAAGCATGAAACCTAACACTGAAACTATTTTTTTAAAAAATCGAATAGAGTGACTATACACAAAAAAATTTAAATTGTGTAAAAAAACCTCCACGTGATAAAAAACCATTAACATTAATCTGGGAAAAAGTATTTACAGTATAAAATAATGAAAATACTTAAATACCAAAAGAGAAACATCTTCATAGACTATTGGGCAAAAGACACAACAGGCAGTTTATATGCTTATGAAAAATTAGTCTCACTAGTAAATTAAAGAAATGTGAAAACAAGATAACCTTTTTGCCAAATTAATTTGACAAGTACAAAAAATATTAACACCTAATGTTCATTGGAGAAAACGGACACTCAATACCTCTCTAGAACAAGGGAAAATTGGCACAGCCTTTCAGAAGAACAATTTGCTACTCATTTTTAACACTTAGAAGAGCAGCTCCTCCACTAGTTTTATGCTGAAAGGATCTACATCAGTACAGCACAGGGCTTCCGCTGCATGAGATCCAGGAAAGAGGAGCCTTTTAAGAGATGCTTTCTGAGCTAATGCTCAAGCTAATGGCCAAGAAATATCTAATTTCCCTCCTTAAAAAAGTTCTATCCATTTATCAGCAATGAGGGAAATACACAAGAACTCCTTCCCTGGGTTTATAACAGGCTTTATCACTAGTGCTGCTTATTTTCTTTTTAATGCACCTTAAAAACAAGTGGTAACAGCCTAGTGAAGCCCCTTTGGTTTAACAGGAGGTGGCGGGGGGAGGGCTGTAAAGTGAGATATAATTCAGTAGTATGAGGCCAAATGTTTTTAATCCAAAATTGGCACTTCGTGACTTTAACTCTTCAGCAAAGTATTTTGCATCTACTATGTGTTTTAGAACATTAATGAAATGTTTTTAATCCAAAATTGGCACTTCGTGACTTCAGCAAAGTATTTCGCATCTACTATGTGTTTTAGAACATTAATTCTATCCCCTTCCCTGTTTTGTATACTTAATTCTTTGTCTGGTAGGGGTTGGGGGGGTAAGGGTCGTTCTTCATACCTTTTGGCTCCTGTGCAGACCATTTTCCCAGAACTAAATATGAGGGCTGTTGTCCTGGGCTCTCGGATCCTCATTATGACAGCAGCAAACCTCTATACATAGAAGCCAAAAGGACAATTAGCCTCTGCTAGAGTTAACACTATTCCATTTGAAAAGCTGAGCTGAACATGAAAACAGACTTGAATAAACTGAGATTTGATGGGAAAACTAAGAAATGTCTGGGTCTGTTCTCCTCACATTAAGATTAACTAACAAAAATGGTTGTGATTCTACAATGTACTTAGAAAAGACAGGTAAGAACAACAGTAAAGCTAAAATTTGAGTGCCTCTTATGTTTCAGGCCCTATTCTAAGAGCTTTGTGGGTTTTATCTAATTTATCCTCATGACAGGACTCAGGTAAGTCCATTATTATCCCCAATTAGTGCACCACCAGCCCTTAAGCTGGGAAGGAAACACTATTCAAGACTATAAGCTCTATGTGTCAGAGCTACTCAACAGGACAAAGGTGGGACTAACAATTTCAGATTTGAAGTGCTGGCAGATAGTGAAAGGACCCTGACTCAGAACTACAGAGTTGATCAAGTCCTACTACTGATTGCCAGGTGTTTACTAAAAGGTCCTCTCATGCGGTATTCATTTTGTCAAACGCTCTCGGCAGCTTAAGTGCCAAGACAGGATTTCCTTGGCTGTCAAGTCCAAGTTCAGACAGGTCACATGCACTGAAATAAAATGAAGGAAGAGCTGAGGATGGTGCAGAATAAAATACGCTTAAAATGCCGATTGCTCTGTACTGTGGTCAATCATTGCAGCAGCCAGAGAATCTCATTGTTTCCATCATCATAGACTGCTATACGAAATATAAAAAGGAAAGCTATGTTGTATTTGCCTAACATTCAGGTAACATTTGAATTTAGATGTCAGCAACAACACTCCCACAACAGCAAAAATAAATACTTAATCCATAAATAGTTGATATTGGCAAGATCCTCTGGGTTCCTACTAATATGGTCTTTTGCATCTAACTCCATAAATCCTCCACCACCCAAGACAGGGAACTTTCTCCCAGTAGAGACTAGGTCTTACTCATCTTTGTACTCCTAACTGCAGGGCCTGCCAAATCATTGAATGTTGATTGAATTAACAAATCCACTTCCGAGGTAAATAGGCCACTGAAATGGGATGCCTGGCTTTGGCAGGACCCAAGGAAGATTTTATTAACCTTTGACAGGAAAAAAAAAATCCGTGAATCTTACATTAGTAAGCAGAAGCTTGAACTTCACACTTTAAATGATTTAGCTTTCTCAAAAAAGAGAACTTGTAACTGGAAAAATACACAAGTGCTGGCTAGGTGGGACATTTAGAAAAAATTATTTCCAGAAATATAATGGCATTTTAAGAAAGTGAGCATCCCCATAGTCAGGCTGAAAAGTCATACTGAAAAAATTTTTTGATGAAAAGACAAGGGTCTTAACTTTTAGGAACTGCTCAATCACTGCTTTATTCAACATAGAGAATGAGATTATTTTTTTAGAACTTCAAAACAGAATGGGGCAATTAACCTTTTGAGTTGCCAAATGCTTTTTCACATATTTCTTCTTTTTTTAAAATAAAAACAAAGGAATGAATCAATATCATGATCATATGAAGGAAAGTTAATTGAAATAGAAGCTAATTGTTGAAATACTGAGAAATCTTACCTTTGGATTATATTCCGCATTTTTTGCATGCAAAGCTATTTTCTTTAGATCCAATTTACAGGCCAGGTTTGCAGTGGAAACTATATTTCTAAAGACATAAGTCAACTTAGAAAATTACACCAGATATAAAAGGTAAAGAATTAAAACACTAACTTCCTCATTTCCTAGGTTGTATATGTGACTTCCTAGGGTGATAATTATTCTAAATGTGAAATACATAAAACATGGTCCCTAATAAAATATAAAAATCCCAAAGTGAAGTACTAAAATAGGTGGTCATGAAATTTTAGGAAAAGCTGACTAAAATTAAGTTCTAAATCTTTTTCAAAACTATGCCTTAAATAATTTTTAAAAAAAAGAAAGAAAGGAAAAGAAAACTATGCCTTAAAATAGCATAATTCCAAATCAATTTGCAAATCAAATTCAATTTTACATCTTTATATTCTTTGGGTTTATCCAACTCCAGCCACAATTTGCAGCAACTCCAGTGCTTTAGTATAAACAATACAATCTTTCAAGAATGTATATACTCTTAAACTCTACTTAAGAGATCAAGAATTAGTGCTTCCTTTTACAGATAACCAAACTGTCTAACGCCACAATCTGTTAAGAACTGATAAACAAAAGTAAAATCTGAAATTCTTTTTTTTACTATTATCCTGAAATTAGCTGTCATCACATTCAGGAATATGAAATGTGTACCCAGAAGCATCATCCATTGAAGACAAACAAAAACCAAAAGAACAACTCACTGTAGTTGAGGCATAATTCCAGAACATTCTGAAACAGGGGTCATTGGTGTCATGGGAGTTATGGATGCCAGAGGCAAGGAGTTTGGTTTTTCAGGAGAGGGCTGGACTGAGTTAGCATCACCGGGGTGCAGATGTGAATGGGAATTTGATGAAGAGCTACTGTTTAAACCTAGGGTAACATCTTGTTGGCTGGATAACAGCAGCTTACTTTGCTGATTTTGAGTTTTACAATTTTCTTCAATTTCATGCTTGCTTCTGACAGTCAGGTCTTTACTTTCTTGGGTAAGTTCGTCTGGTAGGAAGCTAAGATCCACAGATGAGAAATCACCAGATGTTTCTTTGACTACTTCAAGATGTGAATTAAACGCAGTCTCTGGTTTGGATGAATTAGATATGTACACATCATCAGGTACAACTGGGCTGAGCAGGGGCATCTCAGGTGGGGTGATGTCATCCTGGGCCATTTCCAAAACAGAGAAACAAAACACAACAAACACAACAGCATTTTATATCAAAGCGATACTACCATGGCCAGCAGGCAATGTGTTCAGGATGAGAGGCAATTCAAGACAGCTGACGTCCACTAAGTATCACTGAAGTTCTAGTATAGTGTTACATGTTACAGCACACTTAACAGAAACAGGAAAGTATATTTTAACATGCAGAGAAAGGATTTTTCACAAAATGTTTGTCCGACAAGTTAGATCTGTACTCAGTTGCCACTGTAAATCCAATTTTGTAACAGATGCAATTGAGCAATCATGATCTAAACTGTGTTACTTTGAAGAGGACAGGTTTACTGTACTCCTTAAATTGATTATAAACTGATTTAAAGTTTTTAGAGCTTTAAATTCACATTTTAAATAAAAGAACAGTAAGCAAAGGCAGTTTAAGATACAGCTGGAGCACTAATCAAGACTCCACTAAGGACTCAAATTGTTATTCTTTCCATCAAAGAAGAGATAAGAAAATGTGCTAGTTTCGTGAATTTACAATAGGAAAAAGTTATTGAAATTTAAATGGCAAGAATGGTTTAAATCAATGTATTGTATTTCCAGCCCAGGGAAGGCTGCTCAACTTCCATTACCATCAACTGAGGGAATGAGGTGTGTAACTGAGGAAAGCAGCTGATGTAAAATTCATGGTCTTTCTTACAGAAAAAATCGATTACCTTGGTACACGTATTACCACCTGCTTCACTCAGTTGTACTCAGATTCTAAATTTGGAGCACTGCTTGTAAGATAACTTCATCCCTTAGAAGATCTTATTCCGACAACTGAATAGTCACAAATGCCTCTTAGTATCTTTGTAACTTCTCTGTTACAAAGCTATCTTAAATAAAATGTCTGGCTAGGTCGTATTAAATTGTTCTTGTACTACAAGTCCAGCAGATGGCAGGGATGACTAAATGTTCGAAGAAAACACTGAGAAGAATGCAGTCATACTCTTTAAATAAGATTTTTGACCTTATTTCATTTTGAATTATGTAATTAGCTCCCACCTTCCCTTACCTCCACCTACAGATTGGTCCTAATAAAAGAAAGGTGAGGACAATAGCCCTGATTCCTCTCCATTGTTTCCTCGGCCTCTCCTGTCCTAGCTGGAAAGACTCTCATCAGCCAATTTACAGTAAAGCACCAAAATCTGCAACAGTCATTGTCTTCTCCTCCTTAATCCCATTTTGGCATTAGCAGAGGGCAAAGCTCTCACCTAATGAAACTAAACTTCAACAAGGAATTTAATGCTATGGCAACAAGATATTGAAGATGGATGTTTTGTGGCAATGGAACCTCGACAGCCTCCTTTCTAGTTTACCTGTAGGAACACACCTCAGAGGATGTACTTCTAGTGCATTCACTGCATCCTGGACCTTATATCTGAAGGTTTTTGTTAAACGGTTTTTGTAGAACCATAACTCATCTTCCCCCAAACCTTAGTTGTGTGGGCTCTACGATGTTAAACGTTGCAGGACTTCACTATTTCTACCTCCGCGTTACTACTATTTAACCCCGCCTCCACGCCCCCTTAAATCGCTCTTTCGCTTTTCTTTTTTGAAGACTCCGTCCTCTTTTCTAAAATATCTGCCTCTAAAAATTTTTTAAAATTAAACAAAAGAACTCGAAACTTAAGAATCACAGACTGAAAGAAGCCACAGGTGCCTCCAATTCGCGTTTTGAATTCACACTAGCCAGGTTGGAGTTCTGGTTGGCAACCTTGGGCAAATTATTTTGTCTCTCTCTCAGCTTCTACTTTTCAACCGAAAGATGGGGGTAAACAAGCTCACTTCTTAGGGTCGCTAGGAGTTTTATGAGATAAAGGCAAAGCCCTTGCAGCGCACGACTTGGCGCTCAGCAATGAAGCAGGGACGCAAGCCCTGACTCGGGGACAGTGCGACAACCTCCCAGCTCACCTGGGCGGCGCACTGGTCCAGGTAGAGCTCCAGGTATGTCTCTTCTTCCTCCATGCGCCGGAGGTCTCAGTCTTGGGGGATGGGGGAATGGATGAGGGGTGGGAAAAGCGCCCCGGCGAGCCGAACTGCAGCAGAGTCCGACTAGGCGTCGGAGGCGCTCGGGCCATTTATCAGCCCTGAGGCCGCACGCGGCGAGGCGGGGCCCGGGGGTCTGGGGTGGGGGTGGGGGGAGCAGGAAGGGTCCGTGGCCTCCGCGTGGATGGGCGGGAACTCAGCTTCCTCCCAGTCCAAGTTCCTGCAGACCGCGCGCGGGTGAATTAATGAGCCAGGGAGGGAGTTGCAGAACAGGTCACTAGGAAGAGAAAGAGGAATGGGAGTGGGGGGTGGGGTGGCTGGAGATGAAGAGCCTCCTCTCCCGGGTGCCATCACTGCACTCTGCCCACAGCTGAGAAGAAACTCCGCTTGCATATCTGGAGATTTCCTTCTCTACCTGCAGATGCTGTCCTTGCCTCCTGGAGAAGAGATCTCGGTGTTCGTAGCGTGAAAAGTGGATGGGTTGGACAGTGAGAAAATGAAGGATTTTTCTCTTACTTTTTTCTTTTCTTTTTCTTTTACTTTTGAGCAGAGCGAGTGGAATGGGAGGCACCTAATCAGATGTAGTACTTTTATGCTATGATTACTTCTCACCTTCAAATTAGGGTGATTTTTCTCCAATCACAGAGACTTTAGTCTAAAGCCACATAGAAAAGAATGTGTTGCTGTACAGTTAGGGTTGAGGCAGCTCAAGAAAACTAAATATTCACAGGAATGTCTTTGTTTTTGAAATCACTGTTTTAATTTTCAGAGTCTCAGCTTTTATAAGAACTTAAAAGTGCGGAATGGTTCTTTAAGGATAATTGATATTTTAATGTAAGGTATTTCAAGATGTACATGAAAACACACATAAAATATACCTTTTCTACTAGCCTATATTGTCTGAGAGCAGGAATTTTGATGACTTATCTTCGTGTCTCTGTACCAAGCTCATAGATGATCGATTAAACTTGATTAGAGAATGAAACTGTCCTCAGAATGGGGAATGGGAAGCATGTGATAGTGGAGACCGATTACTCTAAGAATGAGATCACAATAAAAATCTTATAGAATTTCTAATCAAGAATAGGAAATATTTTGATAAAGCTGGAATTTTATATTATTTGTATAATGTTATATAATTTAATGATTTATGTTAATGAGATAGCCTACAAAAAATGTTTAGCATTGTACCTACCTACTAGCTCAAATATTAGCTCTTAGTTTTGTTATTAGACTGTTATAGACTGAATTATGTGCACCTCCCCAAATTTATACACTGAAGCCCTAATCCAATATGACTGGTGTCCTTATTAGAGAAAGAGAGAGAGAGAGAAAGCAAAAGACCATGGATGAGTATACACAGAGGAAAAGGAACTTGGACTTCTAGCCTCTAGAACTGTGAGAAAATAAATTTCTATTGTTTAAGCCATTTAGTCTGTGGCATTTTGCTATGGCATTCCTAGAAAGCTAAGACATAGACTAATGAAGTATCTCATCATATGTGGTAGGTAGAATTCTGAGATGGTCCCCCAAATTCCTGCCCCCTGATGCATATACACCTTCTCCTAGTTATTCATACATGAATCTAGGTGCTGCTGTAAAGGGATTTTGCAGAAATTAAGGTTCCAAATCAGTTGACATTAAGAGAGATAGATTATCCTGGGTGAGCCAGGCCTAATCAGGAGAGCCCTTAAAAGGAACTGGGCACTTAGGAGGAAGATTCAAAACTTGAGAAGGATTGACCATGAGGGAAATTTTGCATTTCTGGCTTTGGAGGCAGATGGAGCCATGTTACAAGGAAAGTGGGTGGCCTGCAGGAGCTGAGAGTGGCCCACATTTGACAACCAGCAAAGAAACCGATCTCCAAGAAAGAAGTCTCAGAAAGAAGCTCAGCCTGGCTAATATCTTCATTTCAGCCTTGTAAACCCTGAGCAGAGAACTCAGTCAGCTGTGCCCAAACTTCTGATATATACAACTATGAGCTTCTAAATAGGTGTTGTTTTTAAGCACCAAACTTGTGATAATTTGTTACTCAGAAAAGAAATATATCATAAATTATGAATAAAAAGTGGAGATATGGATTCGCAGTGATTTGTGGTGCAAGTGATAAAGCAAATGGATAATATGTTAACAATAAGCAAATTTGGGTAAAGGATCCGCAAGCGTTCCTTGTACTATTTTGATTTTTGTAAATTTTCTGAGTTTGAAATTTTCCAAGTAAAAAGTTTCAAAAAAAAAGACAAATGACTGTTTTTGCAGATGTTTTCAGTTGAATTATGAGAGTTAATTTATCTAAAATCTTCAATTGTTCTATTTCTGAAAATCGAAGATTGATATGGTTTGATTGAATAATAATTAATTGCTAGCATTCATTGAACTCTTACTATGTGCCAAGCTTTATTCTGAGTGTTTCGTATGTATGAACTCATTTAAACATCACACAACCCTGTGAGGTAAATCTTCTTTTATCCCCATTTTACGCTTGAGAATACTGCGGCACAAAGAAGTTAAGTAACTTGTCCCAGGTCACGCAGCTCCTAATCAGAGTATCTGACTCTGGAGCCACATGCCACGTGTTGTCCCCCATCAAAGTATACATAGGCCATTTCAAATTAGAAGTTTGTTTTTATTTTAACTGTGCTTGTTAACCTGTTTTGATTCTGATTTTTTTTTCCTTCAGAATTTGTAATACTTTGTACTTTGGCCAAAAAAAATTCATTCATTCTTTCTTAATTTATTATTGTAAAGATGAAATGAATTGGATGGGAGTACATGTAAACTTTTACCAAGTACTTTGTACATATAAAGTGTTGTTTTTAATGTCTTTAATAAAGCAATGTCAAGATGTAGATGGACCATGTCAATGGTCATGGACAGTTTTTAAGAGAGGTCGGCTCTATGGAAAATAGACCCTTACTCCTATTTTAAGAGGCTCTGGCTCTCATCATAGAAAATATTAAAATTAACCCCAGCCCACATTAAATATAATTTATATATAACTAAGAGTTGGATTGCTTATGACTAGTTGGTATGTCAAATTTTGTAGACATTTGATCAAATTACTAATTTCAGTTTGGGAATTAAAAAATATTTTGGAGCCAGTAGATTTTCTTCAGCTTTCAAACATCATTGGCCCTTGAAAAACTCATAAGCCCTAGGCAGTGGGCCTCAGCCTCTAAAATGCAATCATCCCAATATTGGGGCCAGAAATTCTCTGGCAAGAAAAGCTGATATGGAGCTTCCGTGTTGAACAATGTTGGGAAATATTATTTCACTAGGGGGCGCTCTCTACCCTTCCTGAAGGGAATATCTTCTGGTTTAGGGAGCAAACAACTTTTAGAGCCAGAGAACAAAGTAGTCCATGCATCCCTTAGATGTTAAAATAAAAAGTGACTATTTCTCTGTGGCAGAAGATGAGGGGCTTCTTCCACAAATAAATAGGATTAATCACTGTACCAATCGAAGCAAATATATTTGGACATAATTATACAAGGATATTCAAATTATAGTGGCTAAACCAGTCGAAAGTGCTTGTAGAGTAATCCACATTTATACTACCTTGATTGGTACTTTATGTGGGGGTCAATTTTGCTGCCTAGGAAAAAGCTGAAAAACAAGAATATGTGTAAATGTGATTAGGTTTCTTGAGGCCACATTAGGAGAGGATATTTTTAAATCTGATGGCAATTTTTCTAGATTCAGCCTTCTCCTTCTCTTAGGAGACATGGACATTCATTGTGATTAATCTCTACATTGAGCTGTCAGTTTCCTGATGGGGATTTCACATGCAAGAATATGGAGGTGGATTTGCTTGAAGGTTTCGTCTAGATAAAAATTTGATGAATTCTTGTCCTTTCAGTAATCGTTTGAAATAAAAATAACCCACAATAACTCATCCTTCTCCTTTTCAGTGGCTATGGAGCATAAACGTCAGCCTCTGGGAAGGAGCCCATGTAATGGCTTAATCGAGGAGGCACAGAAGCCATGTTGAAAATAACCTTCTTAGTTGCCATAGCCTTGGCTCAACAATCCCAGTCTGTTGGAAATCTTGAATGGTCATGGCATCACTGTGCCTCCCCGATAATGTTACCTCTTTCCTTCTCAAGTGGTACTGTATGCTGGATGTAAAGAAGACTTGCTGTATTTTAATTTTCCTGGGAAAATGGCTCAATTTCATGTAAAATTAAAGACAAGAGTGAAAATTTCACAAGTTCTTTGTCTTTTTTGACTCAATCTCTATTATTTTCTTCCTGTATGGACATCTACCATCAGAGAGTTTCTATAATAAAGAATACATTATTTTTAAAGCATATTACAAATAGGAAGCATTATTTATGAGCATAGTTTTGGCATTGTTACACGGAAACAGAACCAAATCAATCAGCACCGATTCTGTGCAGGAGAGAGTTGCTTTGCTATCATCCAAACTGAACACCCAGGGAAGTCTGATCCCCGTGACAGATACCTGTGCCCTGCCACACACAGCAGATTAAAGCTTATAATATTTGCTTGTGAAAGTACATATAAGAATTTCAGCTTCTGTCTCCTCACTGAACTCCACTTAGTACACGCCTTGCTAAAATATGAATCTTTGTACATGCCTGCACTTGCATGCTGTGTAGAGTTAAATTGGGAATGATGCTCCAACACCATTGTTCCTCCCCAAGAATTTACATTTAAAAATTTAATTCTGATGAACAGTCTCTGGAGACTTGAAACACCTTTACATTTATTATGCAAAATTAAGTAAACTAGCAGTTTACCCATCTGTGAAGGGTCTGCCTCAATATTTCTAACCTGGGAAATGTAGGAAGAAGACTATTATTTTTATTCACTACTTCGATATCAAGTGCACCTCATTTTTGTGGTGTGGAGAGAAAAGATCTGCTTTTCCTACTGTGTGGATGCATATAGGAGGCAGTGGTACAGTGGTTAAGAGCCTGAGTGTGGGAGTTGGATTTCAGTTTGAATATTTGCTTAATTGTGCAAAAGGATTGTGATTTTAGGCAAGCAATTTCATATC